TTGCCCACAAATGCCTCCCGGGCACAGGAAAGAGCTTTTCAATGTCACACTCCAGGAAACTGTGGTGGAGCTTGGCAGCTCTATAAATCTCAGAGACATTTCCAGCAGAGGACCTCACTCTACAATGTTGCTACCCAGTCACAGCAACTGATCTTAGCTGGGTTGCAGTGGACTGTAAGATAGTCCACCCTTTGGCAATGCTTCATGCCCTCCCTTTGTTCTTTCTGTTGATGCTCGGTTGCTGGAATCGCAGTCTAGGTGTAATTTAATTCTTTCACAATTTGTTGAACACCTGTATGTACAAGGCACCCAGCTGTGCTGTGGAGAGGAGATCAATGACTGCAGCCATTCCCAGCAAGGTCTTTCTCACTTGCTAAGACCCTTACCTGCTGCATCTGAGAGTTTTAAAAAATCTGGGATGCTTAGTCCCAGTCCCCATCAAGTGAACAAACACTGGAACATACAGTGGCCAGGGGAGGTGGCGGGGGGGGGGTCCCCCAGGGAAATCATAATCTACAACCCAGGTTAGAAATGCTGCTTGAACAAACAAGTGTTATTCATTGAAGCCATTAAAGTGCTACATCATTATCTAGAACTGAAGGAAATTGAGATGAAGGGGAGAGGGCATTTGCCAAAAAGAATGAACAAATAAGGTCTTGCGTGGCAAACAAGTACAGAAGACCCCAGCCCAAAGGATCAGAGAACTGGAAGGGATTGTGGGAAGCACAGGAAATAAGGTTTCTTCCTATAGTGTCTGTAGTGTGTCTGTTTCCTCTTGATTGGACATGGCCTGCTGTCTTGGAGCAGAGTAGCTGTGGTGACCGGGAGACCCTCATTAAAATGGATCTCATTAGGAGTGCGTGGTGGTGCACTCCTTTAATCCCAGCACTTGGAAGGCAGGAGGCAGAGGCAGGAAGATCTCTGTGAGATCGAGGCCAGCCTGGTCTACATAGGGAGTTCCAGGCCAACTGAGGCTACAGGGAGACACTGTCTCAAAAAGACAGAAACAGAAACAACAAAAAAGAGAAAGAAATGGATCTTATTACTGCTCCCTCATGGAGGGAGCTGGGAGGCTCAGGAGACCCCTTGGAGGCCCCTAGCATCCCTGGAATTCCTCCTACCACTATATGGGAGACAAACACTTAACTGGGGGGTTAGCTGCCTGGTAGTTGCCCAAGGAACTTCCCAGTGGTATATCTGGCTGTGACTTTCTCATGATCTTCTAATTAACCCCAATAAACAAGTTTGAATTGGGTGGAATATTTTGTTTGGTCTGGGCTAAATAGAAATTTCTTTACATCTCCCTAGAAAAAGCATAAAACCCTCCCACTGAAGAGTCTAGGGCTAGTTCAAGAGAACATGGCCACCTCAATAATTCTGGCCTGTAGAAACAGAGACCCTAGAAAGGTATGCACAGAACACTCCAGCAGGCTGGGGCAGCAACACCATCTACCCAAACTCCCTGCAGTCCTGTGCTGTTCTTCCTAACCAGGTAATAATTTACACCTCTCTTTTTGTTTTCTGACTGGTTTAGCTGAAGATTTGTGATTTATAGCATCAGAGACAATAATCTGGAGCTGAATTTCCAGGAAGACTCAAGTCTTTTTCACTTGAGTCAATGAATCCAAGCCGTTTCTTTTTATCCAAGTTGCCTTCAACTTAAGAAGCTGTGTGAACTGTGCAGAGGTGGGGTGTCAGGGTATAGCATGAAGCATGCAGCGGCAAACCCATAGTTTTGTTTTGAGGTTTGCTGCCTCAGTCACGTCCTCGCTGCCACTGGGAAGCAGCCATGCTGTTAGTGGGTCAGGGTGTGTCTTCACCACCTGAGGCTAATGAAGACAATCATTCCCTTCCGGGACTTAGTTCAGGGATTTGTCTTTGCTCCATGCCCAAGTCAGCCAGCTCCTGTTTTTGCTCTCTCATGACTCACTGGCCGGGAAATAGTTCAATGCCCTGGCTGGCCCAATCAGAGTGGGCCCACTCTGATTTCTTTCCGCTTGGATGTGAATGAAGAAACATGTAGCCTCCAGCATCCAGCAAGCTTTTCACTTTTGGACCAACTGGGGCGAGTACAAACACATTCAAGGCAGCCCAGAGAGATGATCTCTAGGGAAAACCCCTCATCAGTTCTCCATCCAGTCCGTGCATAGCCCTCCTTCCACTAGGTAATGAAACCTACTTCCACTGCCCTTGAACGTAGCCTGGCCTAGGATCTCACTTTCTCCAGAAGAGCATGGCCGAGGCAATGTTCTAGGGCCTCCAAACCCAGCCATTAGTGTCCATTTGACCCTTGGGGGACCCAATTGCTGTGTGAAGCCCAGGCTAGAACTGTAAGAAGTCATCTGAGAAGAGGAGCAACCTGCTCACCCCACCCCTGCCACAGCTCTCCACCTCAGGGACACAGGCATGTAAGGGGTGCCCTGGGGAGCCCCCCAGCCTTGACTGAGCCCCCAGAATGCAGTTGCCTGGAGATTCCCAGCCAATATCAGGGAAAGCAGAACAACCTGGGAGCCCCTTCCTGCTGTGTAAGCTCCTGCCTGGGTGGTGGCTTGTTACACAGCCATGACTAACAGGTTCTCTTATTTTAACAGCGTTCCAACTAATTTCTTTTCATAGGCTTACAGTTAAAGGCTGAGATGTGTTGGTAATGGAAAATCCAACTCACCTGGTTTAAACATAGTGCATTAACTCTCTGAACAAGAAGTTCCTGGTTAGGTCAGCTCCAGGATGGGTTAATGGATCCATGGTATCATGAAGAACCCATGCTCTTTCCATTTCCCATGTTCCTACTCTGGCTCCCAACTCTCATGTCTGCAAGAAGGCTGCAGATCACTGGGCATCACCTCCACACCACAGGATCCACTAGTGAAAAGGGAGTATTCCTTCTCTTGAGTGAGGACATCTTTCCCAAACATGTCTCCACAGTGCATTATTCTGCTTGCTGAATTCAGTTAAGTCAGTCACTGTATAGAATGGAGTTACCAAGGTTACCTGGAGGGAACCAGAGTTTATCTCTAGCTCTGCAAAGGGTGGAGACTTGGAGGAAGAAGTCATGCCTTTACATCTCCACAGGTGTCTATGTCAGTATGAAACAAGCCCGGCATGGTGGCTCACTCTTGTACTTCTAACATTCAAGAAGCTGAGGCAGGAGGATTGCTTAGAGTTGGAGGTCTGGGGTAAAAAGTGAGATCCTGCTTCAAAACTCCAAAACAAAGCCGAGAGTGGTGGTGTACTCATTTATCTCCAGCACTCAGGAGCAGAGGTAAGCAGATCTCTGTGAGTTTGAGGCCAGCTTGGTTTACATAGCAAGTTCCAGTACAGCCAGCATTGCCTAGTGAAAGTCTCAAAGAAAAAGAAAATTATACACTTGCCTCTGAGTAAAGCCAACACTCCTTACAGACAGGAAGCCTTTATTCTGAGAGAGAAGGGGGTCTGTAGCAGCCCCCATCCACTCCAATTGCCATTTGCCAGAGGGAAGCCTACAATCTGGCTTAGCAGAGGGGTCCTGGTAGGAAACAATGCATCACCAGGGGCTTGGGCAGTGTGGTCATGGCCCCAGGACCACCAAGTTTCCACCATAGGGACCAGCAACACTGGGAGGCTGCTGGCCATGCTAGTCCCCAGACAAAAGGGACCTGCCATTGCAGAGCCTGGCAACAGCAGAGTCCACACACATGCAACAGCTGGGGTGCCGAATGAGCACTGCCTTCCAACAGCACCAGACTAGGGTTAGGCTGGGACTTTCCCCAAGACTGGCTCCCCAGTCTGCAGCTGGTGCTGTGTAGTGAGACGGCTGGTGTGAAACCTAGGCTGAGAGCAAGGCAGAGAAGGGCACCAGGAGATTGGGTGGTGGATCCAGAGGCCTTTCCATTCAGTCTGTATTCCTGGTCATCAGCACCCATTTTAGGGGGTCATCTAACCCAAACAGTGGCAATGTCATTTCGTGGCAATGTCATTTCTACTCCACACTCAGAATGTTCTGAGTGAATCACATTCTTAGTCCGAAAGTCTGGTGCTCCTGGTTAGCCGCAGGTGTTTAGTCCTCTTTGGTTCCAGTCTTTTGAGTCAGAAACAAAAACCATCAGTCAGGTCAGGGCTGACCCTGCGGTAAGGGAAGTGTGGGGACTGTGTGCTAGCTTCACACATGGGCAGCAGAGACCTTCGGTGGAACTCGGGGTGCTAGTTGCGGTGGCTTAGTTGAAAACTAGCAGCACCCGGCAAAGCCAAGGACTGCGGAAGGCTCAGGACACAGGGTAAAGGCATGGGACTGGATGACAGACTAGACGGCGAGAGGACAGCACAGAGCCCCAGCAGCAGGTGGAAAGTACTAGCCCTATGGCCGCCCCATTAGGATGACTCTGACCGTCATAGCGCTGGATCTGGGCAGGCCTAGGTTGGGTCTCCATGAGGACAGGTCCCAAGGAGAGGGGGGGACCCGCCGGCACCCCGCAACCACCTGAAGATCACCTGTCTTCTGCCCACCCCAAGGTAGGAGGTGTGCCCAAGGTGGAGACCTGGGGACCCAACGCTACCGGTCAAAGCTTCCTTCCCAGAGCCAGGGCGAGCCTGGGCGGGAGGGAGGCCTCACCACTCCCGGAGCGCGGGGGGCGGCCACAGCGCCTCCCCGCGGGTCCCGAGTACAGCGCACAGCTGGCCCGCCCCGCCGGGAGGCGGAAGCAACAGGGCGGCGCGCCCCGCCCTGAGGGCCGAGCGAGGGAGCACCAGTGCGCTCCGAGCCGGGGCGGGGGCTGCGGCGCGCGCATGCTCACTCGCGCCCGTGACGCGCGGGGCGCAGCTGGGCAGAGCAGAGGCGCGGCGGCCGC